ACCAAACTGCGATCAAACCATCGAATATTTAAATTCCCCTTCTGGTTGCATCGAAACAAATTGCCATCAACCGGCGCACAGTGTAAGATTTTGCAATTTTAGGGGAAATAAACCTACTGGCCCCCATTTTGCCCTCAATCACCTACAATTGTCAATTAACTCGAAAGCACCTCTGCTCCAAACATGTGAAATTTCATTGCACTTCAACTCGGCTGACGAAAGTGTCTTACCTTCTCCCCTTCCATTGGCTTCGATTTGGTTCTTGATGCGGGCAATAGTCTTCTTCGTATTAGCCCTTCGCTGCTTAACCTCTTCCAAAGTCATCATAAAATCTTAAAAAATAAGGTTAAGTGAGCCAAATATGTCCAAAAGTATTTTGCAAAATGGATGACACTATGTAGAGCACTGAAACCGACGCCAAAAGTTTTTACGCAAAAAATATTTATATACACTTTTATGTATTTTATGCTATTAAGGAAATCTTTATAAAGCGATTAAACTGAAATGTATTAAACTTTGAAGCCCCACTCGAAAGTATGAGCGACCTACTTGTTTTAATGTCACTAAAACCGACTTGTTCCATAATTTGTTATTTTGAACGACAAAATTATTTATACACAAAACATTATATTATGTACTGGAACCAAGAGCGAACAAAATTTACGTATTTTTGTACATAAAGATTAGCGGTAAAATTTAGAGTCACTATTTATTTAATTTTTTTTCCACAAAACTCTTTCTATGTATCAAGCCGACAAAATTTTGAGAAGTGTAATACCACCAAATTGTTTAACAATGTTTTTTTTATTTGCTTTATAATGCACTGTCCCTATATGTTTGTAAATAGTTTTTTTATTGTTTTTAAAAGTTTATTTTTTTACCACAATAGTTTTATTTTTTTGTAGCACTAACGGTTAACAATAACAAGGCATCTGAAAAAAATAATGTTAAATTTTAAACAAAATTATATCTTATAATTTTAATTTTAATATTTCCAATTGTATATAGAAAACTGCAGATATATGCGAAATTCTTTTTTTAATTTAAATTTTGGGGTTCAAAAAAATTATGAAATTTTTTTAATATCGCATCAATGATATTTTGCGTGGACATTGTCTAACATCTTAAAAGTACAATTATCTTCTCGCGAATAATTTTTTAGCAAAAGCCGCCAAAGTTATAGAGGTTTAAAGTTAATAGTTTAAAAAAAATCCCAAAATTACGTTTTTACCTGAAACTCGAAAATATAAGCGTGGATATAATTCACAACGAAGTACCCAAATTACAAATTAATTTAACACAAATATTTTAAATATTCCTGGATAAATTCGCTTTTTAAGAATTTTTTTCAACCTCTTCAAAAAATATTTTTTTTATGAAACTAAGTACACATTTTTATAGACTGTTTAACATGATGTATTAATATATTAATTTACAATCATTAACTAAAAAAGTTATGCATTTATGTGTGATAGATTAAAAATTATGACGTTTTAAAGACCTAAAAGAATACCTAAAAGAATATAATTTTATCAGTTTTAATTAGAAAAACACTGCGTTTTCTGCACACGAAAAACTTTGATGCAAATATTTTTGTGGTTAGCCAATAACTGCTTGTTTATAATTATATTCTGCTTCCATTTCTGAATTTAAATGAGTAAATAATATAAAAACCGTTAAAATGAAAACCTATATAAAGTTTGGAAATAAATTTCATACATATGACCGAACTTTTTTTAACGGCTTATCGATTTTGGTATAAGCATCATTGTCAGCTACCGATTAATGTTAAGTGTTACAAATTTTAATTAGCGGCTTAGGTGTGATTCTTCGAATTATCTTGTAACTCAAGAAACACCGCTTTTTCTGCGAAAGAGAAATTTTGATGAAATTTTTTTGCAGATAACATATCCCAGCTTATTTACAATTAACTGCTTTTATCATTTTTAATTTTAAATGAACTATTAACGCAAAAAAACCGTTAAAATGAAAATCTGTTCGGTTAATTTAAACTTTGTAAATAATTTATATATTTACATGAATGAACTTTCTTACCCTTTTTTAATGCAAAAACGCAGTTTTTTTTCGAACGGCTTATCGATTTTCCTATTAGCATCATTGTCAGCTACCGGTTGATGTATAATGTCCCCAATTTAAATTAGCGGCATAGGTGTGCTTCATCGATTTTTATGGTGAAAGAAACCCCGCGAATTCAGTCCACGAGAGGCCTTGATTGAATTTTTTTGATGCAAACCAATTCGTTCCATATAAAGGTTGATTACTGATAAAATTCAGAATTTAAAATTTGTTTATAATGCGGAAATTCGCTAAGTAAAAAATGAAAAATTTGCAATTTTTTTGTATTCGCTCTAAAATCTTTGCATGCTAATATTTTATAGCGGCTTTATGATTTCAACATGTAAAATTTAAAAGTATTTCGATATTTTGGGTATATTGAAGTTACACTGTTAATGTGCTTCCCGAAAAAGACCTTTTTTTGAAACTTTCGCGTTTATTTTTCCAATATTTAAGCTTCTCCCACAGTGATATCTTCTAGAGCACATTTTGGAGATATACATCAAACGACGCGTAATTACAGTGTCTACTTTTTCTCATTTCTAAGTTTTACATAACAAAAGAGCCACAAATATTATATGCAAAAAAAAAAAAAAACTGCAAATTTTGTAAAATTGTATAAATTTGGTTTCAAAACTTTGCGATCACATAATTATTTACTTATAAATTGCACAACAGTTAAATATAGACTATAGTCTTTCGTCAAGTGTATACTGCCTTCATTAGCAAAATTGACATTCTCATTTGTAAGCCGCCCCCATAACATCCAAAAGTTGTGACAAAACTATGTATTTTAAAAGTTTCTATAGATTTATTTTTGGAAAAAATCTATAATCTAGACATAACTTTATTACAAGCAAACATTGTTTGTAGTGTGTGCATGGTGATGTTATTGTTTGATAATCGGTTTGGTCGTTGACCAAACAGAAGATAAAACAAACAAGTCAAAAAAAAAAAAAAACAAAGTGGCCAGATTGCCGGTGGCGCTGGTATGCTCGCTTATGCCGGGCTTGAAGCTTGCCGATGAGGGTGGTCCTTGCCAATAATCTGTGCCAAAACACACTAAACACAAAAAATCATACCAGCTATAAAATAAATAAAAAGTCAAGGGCTCGAAGCGGTGTCTCCACCTCCCTACGTACTATACCTATCGAACAATTTTCTTCTAGCTGGTGTTGATGCCAAGAGATCACCCTCCCACTCGGGATTGCATCCCGCCATGACATCCTATCATAGGGATGTCCCAAACTTTCCCCGCAAACATTTACCTTCCCTACTTACCGCCGAGTTTACTGAGCTTTACCCAATCATTTTAAATGATAATCAACTCCAAATTTTCATTCAAACATTATGAATCTTCGATTTATTAATAAAAAAGTGGAATTTATACAAACTGAAAGAATTTTTAACAAAAATAGTTTAATATTTCTAGTCTAATTTGACGTTATAAAATGTATATTTAACCAGAACTTTGATTTTAGTTTAGGATTTAAAATATAATTTTTTTTTTACTTTTAGCTTTAGTTTTAAATTAAAATTTTAAGTTCAAAATTTGAAGTTTTATTTTAACTTTAATTTAGTTTTAGCTTTAACTTGTTAGATTTCAATTAACTCGAAAGCACCTCTGCTCCAAACATGTGAAATTTCATTGCACTTCAACTCGGTTATTGATGCGGGCAATAGTCTTCTTCGTATTAGCCCTTCGCTGTAGAGCACTGAAACCGACGTCAAAAATGTTTATATACCTTTTATGTATTTTATGCTATTAAGGAAATCTTTATAAAGCGATTAAACTGAAATGTATTAAACTTTGAAGCCCCACTCTAAAGTATGAGCGACCTACTTTTTTTAATGTCACTAAAACCGACTTGTTCCATAATTTGTTATTTATTTATATACAGTGTTGCCACCAAAAAATTTAGAAACTACACTTGATCGACTCCTAAATTACACATTTAAAAAAAATTACACATGCCCTTTTTTAATTTTTATTTAAACATAAAAACCAATGAAACAAAAATAAATCATATACATATTTTTGTATACGAATATTTAAATAATTATAATTAATTCATTTATAAACAAATTATAAAATTCTTTCAGCAGAAGCATTTGAAAAAGGTAATATTAAAATAAACTGAATTACTTTTTGTAGATTGGGAAACAAACATTCTTCTAAAGAATTTTTTAATTTAAAAACTTTAGGCCAGTATACTTCTGGTTCTAGACTTGCATTAAGTTCAAATTTTTCAAAGTCTAATAGAGCATGCTGTCGCCATTCATTATCAAGTTGTTGTAAATCTGTGTCGAATGACGGAAATCTTTTTTTAAAGAGGGATAATGTCTTTGGTTCAAAAGACTGAGCAACTTTTGGATTAACAATATCTACAATAGAATAAATTTGATCACTAAAATCAAATCTTGATTTTATTTGACGAATTGCCTCCATGTAAAATTCTCTACAATCTTGAAGAATGATTGTTTTTTCTGATGCAGATATCTGAGTTAATGATTCATATGCAGCAACTCCAATATAAATATCATTTATGTTTGAAAATAGATTTTCATCTGATTTGTTGATTTGCCATACGCTTTTTGACTTCAAAACATCCATTTTTATATAATTTGAAGAATATATTTGCAATATATTAAAAACTTCACTTTTCATTTTATATAATATTGGCTTTTCTGATTGAAAAAGGACATTAAAAGAAACTAGAATCACAGAAAAAAATTACAAATTTTAATAAGTAATTATATAGAATTGTTAATGGGGAAGTAAATTATTAACAATTATTTTTATTAAAATGTTTGTAAAGTTATCATATTGACAATTTTCATGAGTTGTTTAGAAATTTCAAAAATAAATAAGAAATCAATTTGAAATATGAAAAATATTTTTCTGAAAAAAAACTATTTTCTCGTAAATCTTTCATTAAATTTTATAAAATTATTGTTATGTCTTTAAAACTGAATTGGAGTAATCTTCAAGGTAAGTCATTATGTAAGATTCACATTAACTTATTTTATATGTACGTTATGAGTTCTTATCTGAGCTGTGCAACTGTGATGCGTTCGGACTTCATATCTGCTTAGAAATTATCTTAGATATAAATCATAATATCCTTTTAATTTCAAGGTTTTCAGATGTAGTGATGACAAAACAGCTCTTTTTTCACATATGTAACTCAGATGAGAACACAGAAAGTGAAAAAAAAAACTTTTTATTGGACATTCAAATTTAATAATGTATATTTTAATAGAAACTCTATTGGTTGGACACTTTTAATGGTCATAGATTCTATAAGAAACCTTCAATACTAGTCAACAATAAATTATCCTCGCCCGTTAATATCTTCCAAGGATATGGTAAAAAAGGCTAACCTGAAATGCTGTTATACGTTATAGGAACACCAGCAACATATCACCCCATAGGTATCAACAACAATAATAACCTTTGGAACATCCTTCACAGAAAAATCTTTTCCAATATCACTTAAGTGATGTTTCCACAAACAAAACTTCTTGTATATGTATAATGGCTACAAAACTGAATTCAATCAATCATAAAGGTATGATTCCTAGGGTATCACTTATATTTCTTTTACACTTTATGAGTTCTCAACTGAGCTGTGAAACTGGGACGATTCAGATGTCATTTTTTTGTATACGGCCTGATAAAAATAAACAGCTCTTTTTCCACATAACTCAGATGGGAACTCAAACAGTGAAAAGTCACATTTTTATTGGATAAAAAAATCGAATATTTAATATTCAACTAGGAACACTTTTTGTTGGACACTCTTAATGGTCTAAGATATTTTAGCCAAAGTTCAGTACCCGTCAGCTTTGAAATACCCACTAAGGTTCTGGTAAACATTTTCGACCTATCTACCAGCTTAATGGAACACCAGCAACATGCCATCCGCTAAAAGTATCAAATTCACTCAAGTGATGTGTCCATGGGCAAAACTTTTCCAAAAATAAAATCTCACAATTTTTATGGATACCTTTGGCTGTTTTCAATACCCTGCAGTGGACTGCCTATACGTACATTTATATTCTCTAGCATTAACTTAAGAAAGTATTAATAGTGTATTAAAAGTGTATTTTTCTTAATAAATAATGAAAACCACATATGAATTGCATTTTTAATAAAAAAATTACTACAAATATATTACTAAGAAAACAAATTTAACTACCAACAAAATAATTTGTAAACATGATTGTTAAAAAATTTTTTTTGTTTGTTAACAAATATGTTATTCTATTTCACAAATTGGTTGTTAAAAAATGTTGTTAAAAGTTAACAAATTTAAATAACAAATATATTTTTTGTATTTACAATATTGGTTGTTGGTGCCTTTTTAATTAAAAAATTAATTGTATTTACGAATTTGGTAATTAATATGACAATTGATTTGTCGTAATTTTTTTCTGTGATACCTAAAGCATATGACAAAAATTCTAAATAAATTTTGGTTTTTGGGTCGTCTAATGTACGTAGCATAGACTCCGTTACTTTTGAAGGATCTTCAAAAACTTCGAGCCTTAAAAAACTTCTTAAAGGCTCAAACTGCTCCAAAACTCGTTTTACACAAGAATGTATTGAAAGCCATCTGGTAATTGCTGGTGTTAATATTTTATGTACTCCAGTTTGGAAGTACGTCTGAAATTCTTCAAGTTTTTTTTTACGAATATAACTTCTATTAAAATAACCCTACAAACATTTTATATTGCGGAAGTTACCCGTATGAAACTTCCAAACGTGCTAAAAGCTCGCCAGCGATGTTGCGGAAGTATAAGAATTCTTGTCACCAGTCGGGAAGAACTGATGCCGAGCTGGGGAACGTCTAAGAGTATCTGGAAGACCCGCAGAAGAAACTTCTAGATGACTCTTGGAAGTAAGGTATTGCCAAAGACTCTTCTAGATGTGACTAGGAAGTCACTTCTTGAAGTGACTACTTAGTATCATCTATAAGTGTTCCTATCTTATCTTCTAGAAGAAGAGTATTCTCTTCTTCTAGAAGATGAGTATTCTCGTCTTCTAGAAGATGAGTTTTCTCTTCTTCTATTTGTATACCCACCAAGATAAAATCTATAAAAATAAATCTAAATAAAATGAAATTTTATAGTTTTTATTGAAATAATTGAAATTAAAATAGTAGAAAAAATAATTGATTTAAGAACTAATCTAAAAAAGTAATATATGTACATTAGACCGACTCACAAAAAATGGTGCTTGAGTTACCCCCTCAAAATATTCGCTGTTATGTAATATGATGTTCCCAAAATATTTTCGGTTAAGTGTTGTCCATTCGTGAGCTGGACAGTTTTAAAGAAAATATCGTATGGGAACACGATTCTTCATGTTAAATTCAATATTTTATCCAGTTTCAAAAAATCTTTGTTATGTTTTATAATGGTTCCCAAAATATTTCTATCCTATCGATGGCTCTTTGTGAGCTGATCCGGTTACAAAAAAGTCCCTTTTTAGTCATTTTTTTTTTAATTATACAGCATTTCTTAAACAATATATACAGTATTTGGTATCATTTGAAAGGTTTGAAGAAAAGTATAGTGGTGCGCAAAATTTGCAAAATTTTGCATACATTTTTAACAGTTTTAAATATTTTGGAATATGCAATTATACGCAGACGGCTTTAAAATACTATTTTAAAGATACCCCGTATTGGATATTTTGTTTCAAAACAAACAAAAATTAAAAAAAGTAATTCCAAAATACCTTTTTTAATTTGGTGTAGCTTACGAACGGTCACCGCTAGACTTAAAATATTTTGGGAATCATCATAAAACAAAGCAAGATAAATTTTGAGAGGGGTAACAAAAACACGTTTTTGCTTTCCATACAGAGTGAGTCGGTCTAATGTACATATGTATCAAAAATTTAGAATTATTACCTTATAATAAGATAATCTGAAATCTGTATTAATATTCCAACTGTTGACTGGTATACTTCCAAAAATTGTAAAACGTTGGACTCTAAAATATTTTTGTAGTTCTTCATAAATTTTATGATCAATCCTTCAAATTGTAAGAGTTATATTTTGGAACGTATTAATCCTTCAACGAAATAAAGAAAAATAATACATATATAAAATTCTAACGTTACTGACTGACTGATTCACTGACTGATTCATCATCGCACAGCCTAAACGGTTAAAGCTAAAGAGCTGAAATTTGGACAGGGGGTTTGTCTCCCACCAAATAGATCCACTAAGACGGGATTTTTGGAAATTCGAATGTTTAGGGGGTAAAAAAGGGTAAAAACGGGTAAATTCGGTAACCTCATATCTCCTAAACTAGAAAAGATACAAAAATAGTTTAAAGCTTATCGTCGTTCATTTCAAAAATAAGCGGACAGGTGTCTGGTACTTTTTTCAATTTCGGCCCCTTTAGGGAATAAACGGGTAAAAAATGTATTTTGGTACTTTATTTGCACCCCATGTATCTTTTAAACCAGTGAACATTCAAACAATATTTTTGACTCCTTCATAACTAGACGAAAAAATAAAAATATAAATTTAGTACCTTTTGGTTATTCGGATGTTTAAGGGGTGAAAATTGTACCTATTTTTGGTACTTTTTTCATAAAACATTGATTTTGGTTTATTAACTTATATATATAAATACATAATAACGGGCTCCCACTACGATGTTGCAACATTTTGGAATAGAATTTTTATTTCGTTAATGGGTAGAAAAAAAGTACCAAAAGGGGTAAAAACGGGAAATTTGACTTTATTCAAACACAATGATCCAATTTAGATAAAATTTTTAAACTTAGAAACACTAAATACCTAATGGGATGTTATTTGGAACCCCGGTACCAAGTGATATTTTTTGGAACTTTTTCATTCTCCAACTGGTACTTTTTGAGTTTTCTATGATATTGAAACATTTCGATACTTTTTCGTTCTACAAAGGTACTTTTTTAAGTTTTCTTTAAAATTAACCCTAGAAACATTAAATTAAGCATGTAGAGCTTAAATGAGAATCTATAAAAGGGGATTTTTTCGTACTTTTTCGTCCTTTCCTCCTGGTACTTTTTGAGTTTTCTATAAAATTTAACTTAGAAACATGAAATTAATCATGTAGAGCCTGGAGTAAATTAGAATCTATAAAAGGGGACTTATTGTTACTTTATCGTAATTTGACTGGTACTTTTTTGAGTTTTCTATTAAATTGAACCTAGAAACATGAAAATAAGCATGTAGAGCCCGTAGTAAATGATAATCTATAAAAGGGGACTTTTTGGTACCTTTTCGTTCTTCAAAAGGTACTTTATAAATTTTCTATAATATTGAACCTAGAAACATTAAATTATGCATGTAGAGCCTGGATTAAGTGAGAACCTATAAAAGGGGACTTTTTGGTACTTTTTCGTTCTTCAAAAGGTACTTTTTGAATTTTCTATAATATTGAACCTAGAAACATGAACTTAAACATGTAGAGCCCCGATTAAGTGAGGACCTACAAAAGGGGACTTTTTGGTACTTTTTCGTCTTCAAAAGGTACTTTTTGAATTTTCTATAATATTGATCCTAGAAGCATGAAATTAAGCATATAGAGCCTGGAGTAAATGAGAATCTATAAGAGGGGACTTTTTGGTACTTTTTCGTCCTTCGACTGGTACTTTTTGAGTTTTCTATTAAATTGAACCTAGAAACATGAAAATAAGCATGTTGAGCCAGTAGTAAATGAGAATCTATAAAAGGGGACTTTTGGTACTTTTTCGTTCCTCAAAAGGTACTTTTTGAATTTTCTATAATATTGATCCTAGAAGCATGAAATTAAGCATGTAGAACCTGGAGTAAATGAGAATCTATAAAAAGGAACTTTTTGCTACTTTTTCGTCCTTCGACTGATACTTTTTGAGTTTTCTATTAAATTGAACCTAGAAACATGAAAATAAGCATTTAGAGCCCGGATTAAGTGAGAATCTATAAAATGGGACTTTTTGGTACTTTTTTGTTCTTCAAAAGGTACTTTTTGAATTTTCTATAATATTGAACCTAGAAACATGAAATTAAACATGTAGAGCCCGGATTAAGTGAGGACCTATAAAAGGGGTCTTTTTGGTACTTTTTCGTTCTTCAAAAGGTACTTTTTGAATTTTCTATAATATTGATCCTAGAAGCATGAAATTAAGCATGTAGAGCCTGGAGTAAATGAGATCTATAAAAGGGGACTTTTTGGTACTTTTTCGTTCTTCAAAAGGTACTTTTTGAATTTTCTATAATATTGATCCTAGAAGCATGAAATTAAGCATATAGAGCGTGGAGTAAATGAGAATCTATAAGAGGGGACTTTTTGGTACTTTGTCGTTCTTCAAAAGGTACTTTTTGAATTTTCTATAATATTGAACCTAGAAACATGAAATTAAGTACGTAGAGCCCGGAGTAAGTGAGAACATATAAAAGAGGACTTTTTGGTAATTTTTCGTTCTTTAAAAGGTACTTTTTGTGTTTTTTATAACATTAAATTAACCATGTGGAGCCCGGAGTTAATCAGAATCTATAAAAGGGGACCCTTTGGTAATTTTTCGTTCTTCAACTGGTACTTTTTGAATTTTCTATAATAATGAACTTAGGAACATGAAATTAAATAAAAGTGGTCTTTTGGTACTTTTTCGTACTTCATTGGTACTTTTTGAGTTTTCTAAAATATTGAATATCTACATATATAAAATTCTAACGTTACTGACTGACTGACTGACTGACTGACTGATTCACTGACTGATTCATCATCGCACAGCCTAAACGGTTGAAGCTAAAGAGCTGAAATTTGGACAGGAGGTTGGTCTCCCGCCAAATAGATCCACTAAGACGGGATTTTTGGAAATTCGCATGTTTAGGGGGTAAAAAGGATAAAAACGGGTAAATTCGGTAACCTTATATCTCCTAAACTAGAAAAGATACAAAAACAGTTTAAAGCTTATCGCCGTTCATTTAAAAAATAAACGGACAGGTGTCTGGTACTTTTTTAAAATTCGGCCCCTTTAGGGAATACACGGGTAAAAACTGTATTTTGGCACTTTTTTCGCACCCCATGTATCTTTTAAGCCAGTGCACATTCAAAAAATATTTTTGACTCCTTCATAACTT